AAAATTAATTCAAGATCAGATAAGCAAATTAAACAACTATAACTGCTAAAGAAATAGAAACAGTCATCAAAAGTCTCCCAACCAAAAAAAGCCCAGGACAAGATGGTTTCAGCTCAAAATTCTACAAGATTTTCAAAGAAGAATAATACCAATACTCCTCAAATTGTTCCACATAATAGAAACAGACAGAACATTGCCAGACTCTTTTTATGAGGCTACAATTACCCTGATACCCAAACCACATAAAGACATTACTAAAAAAGAGAATTACAGATCAGTCTCACTCATGAACATTGATGCAAAAATACTAAATAAAATACTGGCAAATCGAATTCAAGAACATATCAGAACCATCATCCACCATGATCAAATCGGCTTTATCCCAGAGATGCAGGGATGTTCAACATAGGAAAATCTGTCAATGTAATCCACCATATAAACAAACTGAAAAATAAGATGACATGATTATCTCATTAGATGCTAAAAAAGCTTTTAACAAAATAGAACATCCTTTCATGATAAATGTCTTTGAGGGAGCAGGGATACAAGGAACATACCTAAACATAATAAAGGCAATATACAGTAAGCCAACAGCCAACATCAAACTAAATGGAGAGAAACTCATAGTGATCCCACTGAAATCAGGAACAAGAAAAGGTTGTCCAGTCTTTCCATATGTATTCAATATAGTTCTTGAGGTCCTAGCTAGAACAATAAGACAACAAAAAGAGATCAAGAGAATACAAATTGGAAAAGAAGTCAAACTCTCACTATTTGCTGATGATATGATAGTTTACATCAGTGACCCCAAAAGATATATCAAGAAACTTCTACAACTCATAAACACTTTCAGGAATGTAGTAGGATACAAGATTAACTCAAAGAAATCAGTAGCCCTCCTTTACCCAGATGATAAATAGGCTGAGAAAGAAATCAGAGAAGCATCACCCTTCACAATAGCTACAAATATCATAAAATATCTTGGAGTAACTCTAACCAAACAAGTGGAAGACTTGTATGACAAGAGCTTTAAATCTTTAAAGAAAGAAATTGAAGAAGACACCAGAAAGTGGAAAGATCTCCCATGCTCTTGGGTAAGGAGAATTAACATAGTAAAAGTGGCAATCTTACCAAAAGCAATCTACAGATTCAATGCAATGCCCATCAAAATCCCAGCAAAATTCTTTACAGGCCTCGAAGAATGGTACTCAACTTCATATGGTAAAGAAACAAACAAAACAAAAANAAAAAAAAAAAAAAAAAAAAAAAAAAAAAAAAAAAAAAAAAAAAAAAAAAAAAAACAGGATACCAAAACCTGTGCAATAAAAGAACTTCTGGAGGCATCACAATCCCTGACTTCAAACTCTACTACAGAGCTACAGTACTAAAAACAGCCTGGTATTGGTATAAAAACGACAGGAGGACCATTGGAACCGAATCAAAGACCCAGATATTAATCCACACACCTTTCAACACCTGATTTTTGACAAGGAAGCATCAAAGACGTCAACATAAAGCCAACCACACTCAACCTCACAGAAGAGAAAGTGGGAAGTATGCTTGAACGCATTGTCACAGGAGACCACTTCCTAAATATAACCCCAGAAGCACAAACACTGAGAGAAACAATTAATAAATGGGACCTCCTGAAACTGAAAAGCTTCTGTAAAGCAAAAGACATGGTCAACAAGACAAAATGACAGCCTACAGAATGGGAAAAGATCCTCACCAACTCCACATCAGACAGAGGTCTCATCTCCAAAATATACAAAGAATTCAAGAAATTGGACATCAAAAGCATAAATAATCCAATAAAACAATGGCGTATAGGCCTAAACAGATGAATCTAAAATGGCTGAAAGACACTTAATGTTCAACATCCTTAGCCATAAGAGAAATGCAAATCAAAACAACTCTGAGATTCCATCTTACACCTGTAAGAATGGCCAAGATAAAAAACATTTATGACAACTTATGCTGGAGAGGTTGTGGGGTAAAGGGAATACTCTTGCATTGCTGGTGGGAGTGCAAGCTGGTACAGCCCCTTTGGATATCAGTATGGTGATTTCTCAGAAAATTAGGAAACAACCTTTTCGAGACCCAGCAATACCACTTTTGGGTATATATCCAAAGGATGTTCAATCGTGCCACAACAACATGTGCTCAACTATGTTCATAGAAGCATTGCTTATCATAGCCAGAACCTGGCAACAACCTAAATGCCCCTCGACCAAAAAATGGATAAGGAAAATGTGGTACATTTGCCCAATGGAGTACTACACAGCAGAAAAAAATAATGACATCTTGACATTTGCAGGCAAATGGATGGATATTTAAAACATCATATTGAGTGCGGTAACCCAGACCCAGAAAGACAATTATCATATGTACTCACTCATAAGTGGCTTTTAGACGTAAAGCCAAGAAAACCAGCCTACAAATCACAATCCCAGAAAACCTATACAACAATGAGGGCTATAAGAGAGACATACATGGATATAATCTACATGGGAAGTAGAAAAAGACAAGATCTCCTAAGTAAATTGGGAGCATAGGGACCATGGGAGAGGGTTGAAGGGGAGGGGAGAGGCAGGGAGGGGATCAGAGAAAATGCATATCTCAACAAAATCCATAAAACATTGATACATGCATGAAATCTCAAAAAATAAATTTTAAAGTATTGATCAAAAAACATTTATTTCAGGGTATGTGTGGAGAGAGAGAGAGAGAGAGAGAGAGAGAGAGAGAGAGAGAGAGAGAGAGAGAGAACCACATCACACATGTGAAGGTTAGAGAACAACTATGAGTATCAGTCAACTCTCACCTTCCACCTTGTTCAAGGCAAGACCTCTCTTGGTGTCCCTGCAGCAGGCCACCTAACCCATGAGTTTTCAGGAGATTTTTCTGCATCCACCTCTCATCTCTCTGTTGGAGGGGTGGGACTACAAACATGTACCATGTATGCAATAGCCCTGCCACCTAGTTAAACTGTATAAAATAACCACACCAAGCTTCTGGGGCACTGCAGCTTTTCCGTCAGAGCTTTTCCAGGCCCAGGCTCACTGTGTGCTTGTGTGTTTGTCCTTTCTTCATTTCCCCTTTGCCTCAGTTAGGTCTATCCCTGAAGCCATGCAGGACAGAGCAGGTCATATTACTAAACCATCTCCTTGCAACTTATTGTCATACCTATAAATCAACGCATCTCTCAACCCTTGTCTGAGAAGCTTCTTTCCAGGAGACTGTGATTAACATGGTGGCACATAACTATCCAAGGTACAGAGGGCAACTGTGATGGTTTGAATAAAAATGGGCCCATAGGCACATATATTTGAATGCTTATTTACCAGGGAGCAGCACTGTTTGAAATGATTAGAAGGATAAGAAGGTGTGCCTTATTGGAGTAGACATGATCTTGTTGGAGGAAGTGTGTTAATGGAGGTGGCTTTTGAGGTTTCAAAAGTCCAAGTCAGCTCGCTCTCTCTCTCTCTCTCTCTCTCTCTCTCTCTCTCTCTCTCTCTCTCTCTCTCTCTGTCTCTCTCTCTCTCTCTCTCTCTCTCTCAACACACACACACACACACACACACACACACACACAAAGCACATGGGAGTTAAAAATGTTCTCTTAGAAGGGACTTCTAATGCTCCCAGAAAACTCCCTTGTTTCCAATAAATGAAACTAACTTTAAAGTCTGTTTATTGAATGTTATGAGACCACTTGTGCCCACATGCAGAAATAGGATATGTATGGCTNGTTCTCTCTCTCTCTCTCTCTCTCTCTCTCTCTCTCTCTCTCTCTCTCTCTGCATGTGAACCTAGATGTAGCTCTCAGCTGCTGCTCTGGTGTTATGCATGCTGTCATGCTCCCTGCCATGATGATAATGGACCAACTGTAAACTGTAAACAATCCCCCAACTGAATGTTTTCTTTTATAAGAGTTGCCATGGAGAGGAAGGTGTAGAGACAGGCATGTCTACATCTAGAGCCAAAAAGCAGAAGATGAATGCTGTACTCCACTCTTTTATATTCAGCCAAGATTCCAGCTCATGGGATGATGCCACCTACACTTAGAGTCTTTCCTCCCCAGTTAAACTTTCTAGAAACTCACTTAAAAATATGCCCAGAGGTGATCTCTAGCCTAGTCATGGGAGCCCTGTCCTCAAGACTAGGACAAGGGCTTTCTCTGATAAGCTTCATGCAGGGTTCACTTAGCCATCTGTCTCTGCCATGTGAGAATGCAGGATTCATCTGCTCCAGTGGATATGGCCATGAGCGCCATCTTAAAAGCAAAGAATAGTCCTCCCCAGATAACTAAAGCTGTGGTGCCATGATCTTGGAACTGTAGCTGCCTTGATGTCAGAGTGCCCAGCCTTCTCAACTGTGAGAAACAAACTTCCATTCTTTATAAAGTACTCAGTTTGTGGTATACTGTTATAAATGCACACAGATACTAAGACTGAAATTGGGGCCACCACTTGGATTAGTTTGGGATGGTGTCACACTGCTCTCTGAGGTCTGTCTGTATTCTTCACAGGCCACCCAGGAAAGCTGAACACGGATATGTGTGAGTCAGCACTAATGCAACACCCAGGTCCTCCTTAGCGGCACTAAACCCTGCACTCCTCTGCAATGCAATGCTGATTTACTATTTCCCTAGGAATAAACACTTGTAGAGCTTTCCACTCATCCTCGGTTCTGAAAGTGTGAGAACCGATGTGGGGACTCTCCAAGCTTCTGCTCATATGCATGACAAGCATGCATTCTAGAACTGGAAAAGCAGCTGTAGAATGGACTCGGGTGTGCAATGAGCTCACTGTGATGTGTACCTGCCTCTCTTGGTGACCTGACCTCCACAGGCATGCCACAGTGGTGTCTGGAGTCCCAGGATTTATGTCAGTTCAGGTCTAACATCCACAGTACCCAAGGCATCTCATTTTCCCCTTTCCCTAAATGGAAATTTACCTTCATAAGAATCCATAGGCTCCTCTGGGATTTGAGATAGATTAATGGTGAACATTTTGAGCAATCTTTTGGAGTCTTTTCTCAAGGGACCCAGTGTCTGCTTCTGTATACTTGCTAAAGGCTGAGAACTAAATGAAGAGGTGTAAGTTTGTTTTTATAATTCACAATTTAATTGACTTAACCTAAAACTTTTGTGCTTAGACAGATTAAGTAAAACTTGAGTAGAGGTCCTATCTATCTTCTGAGAATACTCTTCTAATTATATCTCTGTTGCCATGGTAAGCATTCTAACTAACAGCAACTTGGGGAAGGAAAAGGTATTATTTTCTCTTACAGGTTTCAACTCATAATTGAAAGAATTCAAGGCAGGAACTTGAAGCCAGGCCTACTTGCCATTCCATGCCATTACCTCTAACCAGTTAACTCAACACAGCCAAGGAAACATAGCAGAACCCATAAAGAAATGTTACTTGACAGCTCACTTGTAGGTTTGTGCTTAGTTAGCTGGATTTCTTATACAGTCCAAGACCATTTGCCTAGGAATACTGCCTTCTACAGGGGGCTAGACACTCTTTACATCACTTGATAATCAAGACAACTCCCCATAGACATAGTCATGGGCCAATCTGATCTAGGAAATCCCAAAATTGAGACTCCCTTCTCAGATGATTCTAGGCTGTGTCAAGATCAATAATTAAAGCCAGCTAGAACAAAGACCATAGTTAATAGTCCATGATGATCACTGCTTTTGTCTCCCATCCTTTACGGTAAACATGACTTGCTGGCATTTGGTGGCTAGGTACTGCTACATGGTCTCTACATCTCTGGGATCCCAGTGATCCCAACCACTGGAATCTTCAGTATAAGACAAGGCCTGTAGTGAAGTGACCATGGACATCTTCAAGGGTGGTAGGAAGTCTCTTACAAATTTATCTCACAAAGTACTGTTGTAAGGGGCATCTTAAATGAAATTATCTTTAGAATGTATGTGCCTACATTCCAATCTCTCTTAGATAATGAATTCATTCCTCTACATTCAAGCAGAGCATGTCTGGGCATTTCTAAGGTGGCATTTCTAAGAAATGGCTCAGCGGGTAAGAGCCGCTTTTCAAAAGGTCTTGAGTTCAATTCCCACATATTGGCTCTCAGTCATCTATAAAATCTGGTGCCCTCTTGAGGAAGAGACCTGGTCTGTTGTCCTCATCAACCTAGACCATGAAACCCAATATAGACAAGCTCAACAGAACTGCCATATACCATGCGTACTTCAGCACTGCCAGGGCACAAATTTCATTTGTTCATTACACTTTGTGGTCAAGTTTTAATCAGTCATAAATTCCATCAGAGCTCCCCTTTCTAGCTTCAGTTTCAATATTAAACACAGAATATTTGCTTAGTGAGTTCATATCAATTAATTTAACTTGATTCAAAATTATGTGCCTCCAACCTTCCCCCCTCCCCACCCTAGACCACAGTTTCTCTGTAACTTCGAAGCCTGTCCTGACACTCACTCTGTAAACCAAGCTGGCCTTGTACTAACAGAGATCCACCCACCTATGCCTCCCAAGTGCTAGGATAAAAGGTGTGCACCACCAATGCCCAGCCATTCCTCCTACCTTTATCCCACACTTCCACTGTCCACTTACAAACGTGTTTCCAGTTTTATCCGTATAAATTAGAAAGTCAGAATAGCTTTTGTTTTGGTTTAAGAGTATAGTTTACTTCCTCCTGAGTCACAATTTGTACCTTACCTTGATGAGCCTATGAAATAGTCAAGTTACAGCTACAGATAAAAAGAACTCCTTTACAGACACACCCAGAAATAATATTCACCACACATTTGGGTACTACAAAGACATTCAAGTTGACACAAAGAGCTCTCCATCACCAATCGCTGAAGAAATGGCTCAGCAGTTAAGAGCATTCATTATTCTTCCAGAGAACCTGTGGTTCCCAGCATCCACATGGTGGTTTTTAACTGTAACTCCAACTTCAGGGGATCTGACACCCTCTACTGGTTTCTACGGACACTGTTCTCACATAAACACAGACTCATAGACAAAATTAGAAGTAAAATAATCTTTAAAGGGAAATTGTTTGTTCTCTCCATATATCCTGATCACTGGGAAGCCCCTACACTGTGAATCTGGGCTTCTGTTTTTTGTGCTTTGCCACATGTATTGTATCAATGTCCTGTGTGATAAACTTATGCACTGGTAGCTTCATTTGTCCAAAACTTCGTGCCGGACCTAGGTGCATGTTTCTGAAGTCAGCACAAGCTTTAATTTCATCTCGTCCATTGGATCTTGAGTGACAAAACCTTGTCACCAGTCAGTTTCTTTGTCTGTGAAACACAAATCGTAGTCCCTAGTTTGCTAGACAAGTTTTTATTTCAAACTGAAACATTCAAGAGAATACCATGCATATCTAATGAGGTTTAGCAGATGTTAAGTATTATTGATAAAAAGTAAAATGTGTCAACAAGAATACACACTGAGTTTGGTTTAAACTGAATAACAAGACCTCCAACTCATCTTTTGCGTCAATCACAAATTTTTTCCAGAAAAATATTGAATCAAACAAAATTGAAATATGCATCAAAGAAAAACATTTAAGTGCCTTTGCCTAAGCATCATTAGGATAATTTTAAAAACTGGGATACAGATTTGAAGAGCTCATTGTTTTCATAACTTATAGAAGTATTTATAGCTGAGAAAGACTAATTGCAAACCACGCTGCACCATACATTTTAATTTGTTTTAATGAAATGTACAAGAGTTCATCTCCAGGTGAACTGTTTGTTATGTGCACGTCTGTTCAGTTACTTCTAAGATCTTGTTTACAATTTGAATAGACTCTTCTTAATTACAAAGAAAAAATATATGGTAATTGTTTTTCCTGTAGAAATGTTAGAAAAAATAACAACAGACACTTCTTCCTACAAGTAAATCCTAGTCAAACAGTTATCTTTGTTACTTTCTGGATATATCTTCATGGCTGTTTCTTCACACACACACACACACACACACATACACAAACATACATACATACCACACACACATACATATATACATACATAAATATACACACATACATTTAATCAGTCACTCAAGCTCTAGAGTCTCTCTCTCTCTCTCTCTCTCTGTCTCTGTGTGTGTGTGTGTGTAAGCATCTGTTGATCTTTCTATCTGTATCTCTTATTCTATTCTACCTCAGTCCACTTTTCTCATGCCCTTCTTTCTGAGTTAATATGCAAATAAAACAGTTCGTTAATTTTCCAAGATAATGTTTATAAAAGGGAAGAAGCAAGAAAGAAAACTCAAGAGTTTATATGTGTAAAGAGAGTATGCCGACCACTACCATCTGAGCAATGCAAGTCACACAATGACCTGGGACATTGAATGGAAGCTTAAATTGTGCTATCCATGTGTTTATCTACATGGTTAGCAGTACTGGGGACTGAAGAGTGTTTTGTACCTGATAGACAAGAGCTTTACTCCTGAGATACTTCCCAATCCCTTTGCCTATTCTATTCTTTGAGACAGGGTCTCAACAAATTACCAAGTCCGCTTATACATGGAGTCAAAGGCCTACACCACTGTGCCTGATGGATGTTTACCTGGGGTAAAATGTAAGATGAAATATTCAGATGTTTGAGTGGTCATTTATTGGTGATCACCACCATGCTGCTATCACGGTAGCATCCATCATTCATCTATCATAAAACTCACTTGTAATGAGACAAAAAATTAGACAAGCCTATTACAGAAACAGCAGACACTTAGGGTAGAATTTTTATTAGCTCTGTAGGGAAACCTCATTAGTTGTTGATGTGACATCTTCTTACATCTTAATAAATGTATATTGAATGAATTTTATTCTTTCACACCATGTCAGTCACCTCAAACATATCCATGTTATCACAAAACTGTATAATTTATTAATGGGTACTAATGGCCTTAATGAAGGCAAAAAGTGGCAAGGAGCAGAAACAACAGATTACAAGTGGTGCTTTTCCTAATTCTTTAATCCTGCTATAAACATTAGCCCATATTGACTCATTGGCTGTGTTCATCTTTATACAAGGACAAATGTTCCTGAACAGGTCTGTTTAATGTAGACTAGTGTCTACCATTCTGCCCAAAGAGATCCAAATGACAAAGGTGCAATCGTGGGAGACTCAGTGACTGTAACAGTGAGGTCTCGAGCAGAGTGAACTCACCATCAGGCACTGCCTTTCTGCCTGTGTCAGGCCTTTCCAAGTCCCTGGGCTGTGCACGTATGGTTCCCTCTACTGTGGGATGCTCTTTCCCAGATATATGCATAGATCTTTGCTCCGGTGTCATTAGAGAAGGAACTCAGACATAAAAAGTGTTGGAGGAGGCTGCTTGTTGGTTCCTAGCTGCCCCATCTCTAAAGTAATCACACAGAAACTGTATTAATTAAATCAGTGCTTGGCCTATTAGCTCTATTATTGGGTAGCTCTTACATATTAATTTAACCCATTTCTATTAATCTATGTATCACCACATGGCAGTGGCTTACCAGATAAAGTTTTATCCAGCTCAGGTGGGGCTCCATGGCTTCTAATGACTCTGCCTCCTTTCTCCCAGCATTCAGCTTAGTTTCCCAACCTAGGTCTGTTCCCCTATAGCTCTGCTATAGGCCCAAAGCAGTTCCTTTGTTTATAAATGGTAATCACAGCATACAGAGCATATTGAAGGGAATCCCACATTCAAAAAAGCAGTTCCTGTCTCTTCCATTCTTGACTCACATTTCCCTTGGGCTGGACCTTATCTTTTTTGTTTATTACCACCTGTCTTCCCCATGAGAATTCACTTGTTCCCTTTGTGTGTGTGTGTGTGTGTGTGTGTGTATACATCTGTGTGTGCTCATGTGAGTTTCAGAGCCAAAGGCCAACCTTGAGTGCCATTACTCAGGAGCTATTACCTTGATTTTTGAAACAGGGTCTCTCATTCTCATTAGCCTGGAGCTTGACAAGTAGGCTAAGAATCTGGTTAGCAAGTTCTAGGGATTCTTGCCCCTGCCTCCCTACTGATGGGGCTGTAAGAATGCACCACTACTCCAGGTTTTGCAGCACTGGTTCTGGGGATCAAACTTAGGTTGT